TCTGTTTTAGCTGCAGATCCTCTGCTGCTCTACAAAATAGATGCAGACAGCTGGATGGGGTTGTTGTGTCATCACAGCCCACTCCCTCTCTTCCAGGTAGTGTTGAAGCCGGATCCCTCCTCCCCTGGACTGTGAATATGCACTGTCTCTCCGTGTGGGTAGCAGGGAGTTTAATCTCCGCACTTGTGAAGATGGGATTTATTTTTTATCTAATCTGCACTTGCCTAGATGCCTAGAACCCAAAAATGGATTTTTGTCTGCAAGAGGAACATAATTCCTGTTTGGTCTTCCTGAAGAAGAGTTTGATCCACAAAAATAAGCAATCAATGATGAACAAGAGTCTGCTTCTAGACCTGCAGACAACAGACACACAACAATACAACAGGAGCAAGCTATCACTGTGTCAGCCTGATGAAGAAATATTAAATCAACATTGTTTTACTGAAAAATCATACGATAATAAACCACAGTGCATTAAGTGCCCACCATAGCCTTAAGACGTATTGAACGTGCCCAAGTCCATACTTATGAGAGCACCATGTGAGCACCTGTGTGTGTACACGCGCTTGTTTATGTAATGTTTCTCTATAGGAGCGTCCAATAGAGAGTGTGAGGGTCCACAGATCTGCCCCCCAAAGATGCGTAGGAGATGGAAGGAGCTCCAAGTCTCAGAGATCCAGGAGCTGCCCCAGAGCACAGGGACCCCAGGGAGACTGTAACCAGAAAAGTCCAGCACCTTTTCGACATTAAAACCACCCAATGGAGAGCCAGAACATTTTACTAAATACATTGTAATAGTGCCAATGGTAAAATGTTTTTGTGGCGAGCGGGCCCAGGAGCTAGGGATACACACGGCTCTAGTGCAACGCTAGGCCGGGACCAATCTACGTTTCCTCCTAGACTGGGAAGAAACAAGTGATTCTGTTCTTACTGTAACAACAACAACACCACCTTGATGCCCAAGGACAAGTATAAAGACACATAGGTCCACTCTTATGAGAAAGGAGCTTGAGACTGGGTTCCCCAATTAAAAACTATTTTATTCACAAACAATAAAAACTACAAAAAATGCTAAAAACTACTTATTAAAAGGCCAAAGTAGCCAGAAAATAATTACATAAAAAAAGCAAGCTGAAGCTACTGAGGAGGTGCCAAATCCTTACAGGGAGACGGAACTCCAAGCTAAAGAAAAAACAAAACCAAAATCACCCTAGGCACTCGTGCAACTGATCAGATGTAAAGTGAAGAGCTCCAAACATGCAACCACAGCAACCCAACTGGAACATCACCCCGACGTGGCCACCAGCAGCTCCCAGCCTGTAAAAGTAAACAAAAGAAAACAACAAGGAAGAGTGAGGTCCCTCACATTGGCTACAGCCAATGCCTCACTCCCTACACACACATACTCACGTACGCACGCGCACACACACACACACACACACACACACACATATTGCTTCTGCTAATAAAATGTCCGTAGGGGGTTTAAATTTTCTGTTACGTTGCAACTTTATTATTTCTAAATTACCAGTGAAACTTTCAATGTTTCACCAGCAGGCTTTACTTGCGTGGAAATTATGCCATACACATAATTTCTCCCCACACAAAGAAATATTATGGAATAATGGTAATATTACCATAAACAACAAAAGCTTATACAAAATTAATTGGGTTGAGAAAGGCATAATTTTTGCTGCAGATTTATTTGATGATAACGGAAGCCTTTATAGCTATGAAAACTTTTTGAAAACTTAAGGATTTTCCAGTGAAAAACAGAGAATTTGCCTTGGTCGTGAGAGCCATTTCTTCAGGCATAGTTGAGTTAATGAGAGCGAGAGGGTGCTCGCTGCAGACCTACAAAGGCGGAGCTGCACCATAAGGTGGAGCTGCACCAGAATCAGCCCCGCCCATTCACGCAAACTCATCCTAGCCCACTGACTTCCGTTTTTGTTTTTCAACTTTATCGCAAACTAACCTGACCCACATGAATTACGGCTGTTACTAGTTTACAGTCGTTAATGCTATGTTCTATGCTCCAATTAAACAAGATAAATATAACTTGCTACATGACAAAGTCTGAATATATCCCGAAATTAAAAGGTTTCTTTTAGCGAATATCTGCCCACAGCCGCTCTAACAAAACACCTGTACAACAGTATGTAATTTAACCATGTGGGTTCTGGTAGTCTAGTGCCAAGATCGTCTGATTTAAGTTTTGCTTTGCCCTCAGCTGATGCTGGTTCGATTCTCGGTGGGGTAGGCAACAATCTATTTAGCCAGCTGAAACATTTAATTTGTTCATATTTTAGTTGTAATGTTCATTTTCAGCAAAATATTTATGTCTCTACAAGTTCTTTGAATTTGGTCGTTCCTAAACAGCATTTTAGTTGAAACTCTGCTCACAAATGGACTCACACTGGCTAAATAAACGAATGAATAAATAAAAAAAACACATTAGTCATTATATGTTAAATGGCATACCAATAAATTGTTGTAGACATAGTACTGGCAAGTGTAGCTAGAAATGAGGAAAAGGGGTTATAGAATATTTCCACTATTGGGAGGCGAACCTGCGCAAAACTGCATGTCAACCTGACACCATAACCATACACTGCAAAAACCAACCTGCTTAATACTAGACAAATACACTTTTTTAAAGTCAATAATAACTAAAAACAAGTTAAATTATCTGCCAGTGCAGTGAGTGAATTTTTCTTAGTAAGATTTCTTGAAATAAGAATAATATCTAGACTTAAACAAAGCTAAAAGTAAGTGTTTTACACTTATTCTAGGCAACACACAAGACAATTAAATCTTGAAATAAGCCTTACATGCCTATTTCAGGCAATGAAAATTACAATAGAATCTTAAAATAAGCTGTTACCAGTTGTTCTAAGCAAAAAACTGTGGAAGTTAAATCTGCAAATAAGCATAAAACACTTACTCTAAGGAACAAATAAGGCAAATAATCTAAAAACTAGTAAATTTAATAATTTTTTCCTGCTTTTTACCCTTAAATTTAGCAAATAAATCCTAAAAGTAGAGCTATAAGATTATATTTCTCATTATGGACTAAATATAATAAAACTGAAACGGAGCAAGTGTCAAACTTTTATTTCTCCACTTTAACAATTACACACAGGTATGCAAATGAAAATGTGCCTTGTACAGGTCTGACAATTTCCTTATAACCCTCCCACTGTCCTAATGGGTGTGGCCCCACGAGGAAGTAGATCATTGAGCAGTGTGGATGGTTTATCCCTTGGGTCCATGTGGCAGGGGTGATGTGGTGCTCACTCCTCACCCCTGCCACATGGACCCAAGGGATAAACCATCCACACTGCTCAATGATCTACTTTCCTCGTGGGGCCACACCCATTAGGACAGTGGGAGGGTTAAACCTGTTTAAACATGTCAACTTTTGTTTCTACTGAGATCAAACTAAATGTAGTGTAGAGAATTACTGAAATATGCAAACATGAACAAAAATGCTGCACTTTTATGAGAGAACATGATGAAGAGTTCTGTGTTGTCCTCAACATAAAACCAAAACCAATGTTATAATAGAAACAACATGAACAATATCACAAGCATAAATCAACAGGTTTTTAGTATAACTTTCAAGGTTCATTTGGTCAGAGACATGAGATATTTCAGTAACCATCTGCAGGCCATAGATGATGGTGGATTAAACATGAGGATTTCAACATAATCCTATTGTCTGACCGACTGAACCTGGAATGTTATAGTAAAAGGCACAATAATGAATATAAAATACATTGAATGTAACTAAGTGAAAGAAAAGGGGGGATCTCTGGTCTGTGCAGCTCTTTAAATTACAGTTCCATCAGTAACTGTACCCCATAATCTCACTAAATGTACAACTACTTTCCAATAAATGCGTACCATTCGGCCAGGGCTTTTTTGTAATATGATGTAGTGTCACGCTCATGAATAGCATCCTGGAGAACTTCTGTCTGAATGACAGACAGTAGGGTTGCCACGCATTTGGGATAAGTCAGATGGAGTGTATAAAAGTATGCCATCACATAAATCATAGCCTCACCAAGTTTTTCTTTGTCAAATGTTGTAACTGGCAAATTCCCAACAGCAATAACACACTTGCATCCATCGAACATCACCACTGGACATGACAAGCTTCGTTTCTGGAGGACTGCATCTGGATCTTCTGTAGGCTGCAAGACAGACATGGCACACATTTTTAGTCATAACCTCAAAAACATTTAACCCTTTTCTTTGTTGATTACACACTTTTTGTGTTTTAACTCATGGTTTATCTGTGTCTGGCCATAAGTCCCTAGAAATAGCAGGCAACACTTATAATGTTTTTCTGGTCACTTCGAACAGCAGGAGAAACATTGAGGAAAAAAAATGGAAGAGCTTGAAAAAAAGCTACCTAAAGAATAGTCCCGGTGAAAGAGTCACATGCATGAGTGACTTTAAACTACTCCATGGATGTTTTATTTTAGAAAACAATGCTATAAAAACTTGATTTAGCATTACCCCTCCTTCATTTTGTTGTAGTGAGTCTGTAGTATATCTTTATAAAGCAAATTACACAAAACAAACCTTCAGGACATGTAGAAATGCATCAGAAGCAGTCCCCATCTTTTTGGGTGGATGGGCAGGTGAGGGAAAGAGTGTTGGAAGAGCCTTCATCAATGCAAGATGGGCTTCAGCTGTACACAGCAAAAACAAACCTGCATAAACTTACATTTAAAAGGATGAGAACTTTGTATTCAAATTTTTATGCTTACTTTTGTCCATAGTCATTGGTGGATTCATTGCCTTCTTTGACACACCATAGAATTCCACCCTGGAGCAAAATTCTTGCCATCTTTGTTTGATTTGACTGACGAACTTGTTGTTGTGTGGATCCAAAATTCTGCGCAGCTCACCCAACACCTACAATATTAAACACAGATAAAAAATAAAAAAACTCAAATAACAGAGAAAATACATTTCTAATTTGATTCCAATTATGAACTCTCCCAATAGCGTACATGATGCAGTTCTTTAAAGCATGGATATGCATCCAAGATGTGGGAAGCTCTGTTCTCCTCTTTCAAGGAGTCTGAGTCAATGAAGGCTCTTCTGGAGTCAAACTCGAGGTCTAATAACTGGGACACATCTTCTTGGTTTGGTTTCGGCTTCTTGCACATTTCTTGTAATGTTCTGTAAAGTCTTGCTTGTATTTGCGGACTAACCCTGCCAGCTAAAATGGGGAGAAGTACAAGAGCATTTTATAGACTTATACATAACATTGGCTATATGGCTTGTGTGTCGATAAACATTTTAAAAAATTACATGTATGTACTCACATGAAGTGGAAGCATCAGAACTGCTTGCAGGTGATAAAAGCAGATTAGATGCACCACTGGAAGAACTGCAATCAACATCTTCATCATCAGCTTCTTTATCAGTTGGAGAGAGGTCAGTGAGTCTTCTCTTTGGCCGGCCCCTGTCTGGTGTTGGCCGTTGCTTTTTTACAGGAGTTTTAATATTTTGCAGCCTTTTTAGTAACTTTGCGTTGATGCTCTCCTGGTGACAAATGCATATATTTCATGCTTACTAAACAAAACAAAATGATTCATGGAGGAGACAAATAGACGAACTTACGTGTTTCACGCTTGCATCATTATCCTTTAGCATAGGATAATATTCCACGATTATTTTGGCCATTGCAGTGATTTCGTTCTTAGAGGGGTATCGCTCCATTTGGCCTTCGCTTGCTCTCAAAAGGGACACCATACTTGTGATTGTATTTCTCACTAGTCTGCATCTCAGTTCTTTGGACATGACACATTCATGTTCCCGGCTAACATGGGCCAAATCATAGTAACTCTTTCTGCATTGCTCCAACTCACTGTCTGTGTACACTACATATTCCGGAGGACTGGGGAGCTGCAAGGTCTTCTGCTGGCTTTTTTTAGCATCAGGACTTTGAGGCCTGGCTGTTGGAACTACCCTGGGTGAAGAATATGTTTCAGGGGTCTGTGTTACAGGACGGTCTTCCTGGTATAAGGTGAGAAAAGAAAAGTTTCAAGTAATGCAAAAATAAAAGCACACTTTCTAGAGATTTGCTGAAATAAATAGTTTTACACAATACCTCAGGGTGAATTACTGACCACACACGCTTTCTAGTGAGAAAGTGTTCAGGCCCAGGAAACAGGTCCCTCAGATCCTCGCGGCTCAAAGTTAAGAGCATGGGCTCGTCAATGCATGCAGCTAACAAAAAGACAAATGCCAGTTAAACACACACACACACACACACACACACACACACACACACATACATGTAATATGAAATCTAACCTGTAAGGATAGATACTGTTACGTGATCCAGCTTCTCCATAGCTCAATCACCTGCAAAACAAATATATTTTGTCATTTGATTAAATTTTTTGATTCCTGAATAAAACTATTGAGCCCACTTTAATAAATCTAATTAATATAAAAATAACAAAAGATTTTTTCAGGAGGATGATTAAGATGAATGTCCAGCAGACATGCTCCGCTGTTTAGCTGTAAAATGGGAAAAGGAGACTTGCTAATTTATTTAATAATCGTTCTCTAAAACTCGTGCCAGGGATGCTAAGCTAACGCTAGCATTTGTTAGCATGCTCCGTTAGACATTCCCGCCCAAATAAAAATCTATTCTGTCCGCTTGAGTTGAAAACAACAATTAGGCTGAACACTGCTTATATATAACATTTTAAAATTGCTTAACTCTCTCTTGCTTATATATCACATTTTAAAATTGCTTACCTCTCTCTATTCATGAAGTGTTTGTTCTCATACAGTTTTTTCTTGCCACTGTAACGAACATCGCCCGCATGCAAATAAAATGGAGTTGGGTAACAACTAACACGGAACAAGAAGGGGGTGAAAATCTAAATTTTTGCTTCTACATAAATTTTAGTAATTTGTACATTCATGATAAAAGTTAGTATATTTAAATCTCTTATTCTATTAAATAACTTGTCTTATGGATTTCATTTCAGTGTCTTTTTTGGGGCAGTTTTATTTTGTTACATAGTTAGGATAAAAACCCCATCAAGTTGGTATGTTCCAAACTAGCGCGGTAGAAGTTCCACTTCCGGCTCAAAGGTGAAGTAGCTAAAGAGTAGCTTTTGAACTTGACTATAAACCAACATTTTATGCGTGACTTTGTAGTTATACAATGGCCTGCTGGAGGTGCGTTATTTGCTTTGTTTTTGTTGCATTAACGCTGAAGTCACTTTTAAGTCACATTAATACTGCACACAGTCGCAGTCCGGATTTCCGTGTCATTTGTGGAGTCGATGGATGCGCTGAGGAATACCGCGTTTTCAACTCTTTCTACTACCATCTCAGACGGACACATTCACAATATTTCGCCGCTGGGAACCCTCCCACAGGTTGTCTCTCAGCTTCATTCGATGCAAATCTGTTAGGAAGTGAACATTTTGGTACAGCTATTTTTGCCGACTGTACTACCGAAACAAGACCAATTGAAGCAGAAACACCAGATTTCCCACAAACCTCGGTTGTGTTGGAGCAGGAGCGACAGGAAAGTCGGAATTTGATGGACAAAGACCAATCGGATGTTCAAACACCACGTCAGAATCAGGTAATGTACTTTGTGTGTGTGTGTGATTTATGAATATCTTCCAAATGAAGCTTTCTAACACTGAAGCTTGTTTCAGATGGTTTATCCTTTACCTCATCACTTGTTTGTTGTCACTTTTCTGTCAATTTCTTACAGGCATACTGAAGTAAAATCAATGTACATCGTAATACACAAAAACAGACACAGAAATACACATTTATTTATATTAAAATATTTTAGGCGAACTTAGGCGTCAAAGTGAACATCACTATGAATATGAATATTACACACAGAGCTCAGACATGATGTTTACTGATGCTGTTATGGTTCCTCCATATTTATTTATTTGACTTATTTGTTGTGTTGTCAGCTTTTTTTTTTTTTCAAATTGTGTCTACTGAAGTTCATATTTGTAAAATATTGTAGGCTGAGTTACAATATTTTAAACCGATTTAAACTTCTCCTTATTTACTGGTGTATAATTGGTGTAACTGACTTAACAGTGAACCAGCAGCTTTCAACAAGCGGGTTCACTTAACTCCGGAGTCGATTCCATAAAGATTGCTTAAATTTATTAAATAATTCCTAAATTGTTTACAAAATGTGCAGCTTGAATAGATATGCCTCATCGTATTAATTTTGTAATTGCAAATAAATACAACCAACTGTTGTAATATTTGTTTTGCTTTGTTTAGTTACTGATAGAATTGGAAACACATTCAGGGTGTTACTTTTCTTACACACTTGTCTTTCTTTGGTCCTGTAGGGCGTAAGAGAACCTGTTGCTCTCGCCAGACGTGCAGCTGCATTTGCTATTGGTGTGCGGGAGCAATGCCACCTATCACAGGTACTGCCTCATCTAATAATACCCCCTATTTTTGTGTCATTGTTCATTTGGAAAAAAAGGGGATAATTTTAAAGTGTAGTTCACTGGAGTGAAAAGATATTTTAACCTTAATAAGTTTTTTCATAACTATTTTACTATAAATAAATAACACTAAAAAAAGTTAACAATTCAATGCATTGTATTTATATTGCGCCAAATCATGACAAGAGTCGTCTCAGGGCACTTCACACAGTAAACAGTTAGGTATGCCACTCAGTAAAAAGTTTCCTATATAAGGAACCCAGCAGGTTGCATTGAGTCACTGACTAGTGTCAGTGTCTTTACAGCAATCCTCATACTAAGCAAGCATTTAGTGACAGTGGAGAGGAAAACTCCCTTTTAACAGGAAGAAACCTCCAGAGAATCTTGGCTCAGTATAAGCAGCCATCCTCCACGACTCACTGGGGATGGAGAAGACAAGAACACACACACACACCACATTTACTTAATAGTGTTTCTGAGGCTGCTCATTTTATGATTCTTTAGAAGCTTATTTGTGTGAATCTGAACTATTTCTACAGCTGAAGTAGTAGCACATTCTATGTTAAAGAAACATTTCAGATGAGGACAGTCATTGAGTTGCATTGCTATGTTTTTCATATTGTTTACATTTCCACTTATCTAATGTTATTTTTTTTTCCATCAGACGAGTGTGAACAACATTGTCCTTGGTGTTCAACAGTATCAAACGGCTCTTCTGGCGTCCTTGAGAGAAGAAATGAAGACCATCCTACAAAGGCATCCTGACAGCACTGGACCTTTACAAGCAGAAGTTCTTTCAACACTGGACAACTTTCAGGACCCCTTTCCTCTATGTGCAGCTATTAACCTACAGGACCCAGCAACACAGATGCATTTTAACCCGGTTTCACCTGAGGAGATCATCATTTCCAAGTATGCCTGTAGAGTTAAAAAGGGAGAATCTAGAGTTCTTGCAATCAAAAACAAGTCTTTCTACTACATCCCTCTGATTGAAAGTTTGAAACAGCTACTATCCAATTCAAGACTATTTGACATGTTCAGTGCTGCACCTCAAAGTTGCTCCAAGGCCAATTTTTTGTATGACATTAATGATGGAATTATTTTCAAAACCCACCCACTGTTTTCTAAGAAAAACTCTGCTTTACAACTTATATTGTATTCTGATGAGATAGAAATTTGTAACCCCCTAGGGTCACGTGCAGGTGTAAATAAATTATTAATGTTTTATTACACATTAGGCAACATCGACCCTAAGTTTAGATCAAAGCTGGCTTCAATCAGACTTATTGGAATCGCAAAGTCTAAAGACATAGATGAGTGTGGGGTAGACATTATACTGCAGAGAATTGATGAGGACTTGAAGTTGCTGTATGACGGTGTTATGATTAACACTGTGAATGGGGAATTTTATTTAAATGGAGCAGTTATTGCTGTGTGTGGAGACACTCTTGCCCAGCATGAGCTTGCAGGATTTAAGGAAGGAGTTGGTTTTGCATATAGCAAATGCCGCCATTGTGAGTGTACTTTTGATGAAATGCAAGCAAATTTCAATGAACAGAGTTTCACCAGACGGACATTGGACGGACACATAAGACAATGCAAAGAAATTGATAGGGCAACTACTGAATTCTTAAAATCCTCGCTTAAAACGACTTTTGGCATAAATAGACAAAGCAAGTTAGTTGATTTCCCAGGTTTTAATCTCATAGAGCAAATGCCACAGGATATTATGCATATAATTCTTGAAGGAGTGGCACCAATGGAAATTAAGTGTGTGTTGAAATATCTTGTTTTATCTGGAAATTTAGAGTTGGACATTTTTAATTCTGCCATGCAGACTTTTCCTTTTTCATCAACAGACATACGTGACAAGCCTTCACCAATTAGTATAGCTACTTTAGCTTCAAGTGACAACAGACTTAAACAATCCTCTGGACAGATGCTTATATTGATCAAGATTTTGCCATTCTTATTGGACTGTGTTGTGGAGAAAAATCCATATATCCAGTTTATTTTGGATTTAATTGAAATTGTTAAAATACTTTTTGCCCCAGTTTTGTCTGTACAAACTGTGTCCAAACTAAAACAGATGATAGAGAATCATCTTAAACAATTCAGACAACTATTTCCTGAAAACAATGTAATCCCAAAGCAACATTACATGCTACATCTTCCCTCTCAGATTATTGCTCTGGGACCTGTAATACGGCATATGTGCATGAGATTCGAGTCTAAACATAGTTTTTTTAAACAATGGTCATCCAAATTAAATTTTAAGAATGTGTGCAAGTCTCTTGTAAACCACAATCAGCTGCTGGAGTGTTGTCAAAGTGAAACAGGAATTGAGCATCCAATTTTTTTACATGAAAAAGAGCTAGGTCCTGTATCAGATGTATCTAATATTAATCATTTACAATCAAAGGTTGTAGATTTTTTGGGCATTGAAGATGCTGTACATCATGCTGTTAGAGTAAAGTGGCTTATTTCACATGGTAGCAAATACATCTGTGACAGATCCATGATTCTTATTTCAGCAAATGGTTTAATCCCTACCTTTGGACTTATAAAAAACATTTTTGTTGTTAATAGTGTGCTATATTGCTTTGAATACCAGGTGTATGAAACATTGGGTTTTAACAAAGAGTTTCTTGCCTATGAAGTTGCGATACCTAACCTTGCCCAAGCAACCGAACTGACTGATGTTGAAAACCTACTTGATTATACCTCATATTACACAGTCAATTTCAAAAACTGTGTCTATGTTATAACAAAATATAACCTGGAAGATGTCATTGCTTTAAACCTATAATAAATATGTTGATGGGACTGTGTTTTTCTTATTTAAAGAAAATCAAGTGAGTGGTTCTTATTTTGAGAAAGATTTTTATTTGAAACGATAGCTGAATTTTTTTTTGCTTGAAATTAATGTAAAATGGTTAAATTTCAGATTTACAGACTACATAAGAATAAAAAACAAAATTAACTTAAAACAAGACTGATCTTCTAACGCATTAGACTGGAAACTAGCTTGTAATGTTTAAAACAAGATGGAGAAGATAATTTGGCTAGATTAAAGACAACAAATCTTGTTAAGCTGCAAATAATTTGCAGTGTAGGCGTCATTTTAACCGGGGACGCCGGGGACATGTCCCCGGCAAAATTTGTGATTGGCAGCTGTGTCCCCCCCACAATTTGTGATTGGCAGCTGTGTCCCCCCCACTTTAAAAAAAGCCTGCTGATGAGGATTTTTGTTTTACCAGCTCAGATCTTATCCAGGGGTCGGCAACCTGTTCCCATCAAAGAGCCATTATTACCCATTTCCCACAGTGAAGAAAACATGGGCGCCACAGCGGCCGCAGCGTTGTGGGCGGGGCC